ACTCTGGGGTCACCATGGGGTCACTCTATTCCTGTGGGGTCATTCTGGGTTACCCTAAGGTCACCGTGGGGTCACTCTGTTCCTGTGGGGTCATTCTGGGTTACCCTGAGGTCACCGTGGGGTCACTCTGTTCCTGTGGGGTCATTCTGGGTTACCCTGAGGTCACCGTGGGGTCACTCTGTTCCTGTGGCCGCTCCCATGGAGTCACTGGAGGCTCCGTCCAACCCGGCCTTGGACACTCCCGGGAGCGAGAGCCCTGCAGCCTCTGGGCAGCCCCGTTCCCGTTCCTGTTCCTGTTCCTGTTCTGTTCCCGTTCCTGTTCCCATTCCCGTCCCTGATCCTGTTCCCATTCCCGTTCCCATTCCCGTTCCTGTTCCCGTTCTCGTTCCTGTTCTGTTCCCCATTCCCGTTCCTGTTCCCCATTCCCGTTCCCATTCCCGTTCCTGTTCCCATTCCTGTTCCCGTTCCTGTTCCCATTCCCGTTCCTGTTCCCGTTCTCGTTCCTGTTCTGTTCCCCATTCCCGTTCCTGTTCCCCATTCCCGTTCCCGTTCCCATTCCTGTTCTGTTCCTCGTTCCCGTTCCCGTTCCCGTTCCCGTTCCTGTTCCCGTTCCTGTTCCCATTCCTGTTCCCATTCCTGTTCCCATTCCCGTTCCCGTTCCCATTCCCGTTCCTGTTTCCATTCCCTCACTCCGTCATTCCCGGTTCCCGGGGCAGGTGGTGAACGCCGTCATTCCCGGTTGTTTCCCGTATCCCTCACTCCGTCATTCCCGGTTGTTTCCCGTATCCCCATTCCGTGATTCCCGGTTGTTTCCCCGTTCCATCACTCCCGTTTCCGGTGGTTTCCTGGGCAGGTGGTGAACACGGTGATTCCCGGTTGTTTCCGGTTGTTGTTTCCCGGTGCAGGTGGTGAACGCCATCATTCCCGGTTGTTTCCCTCAGTCCATCATTCCCGGTTGTTTCCCGTGTCCCTCACTCCGTCATTCCCGGTTGTTTCCGGTTGTTGTTTCCGGTGCAGGTGGTGAACGCCATCATTCCCGGTTGTTTCCCCCATTCCATCATTCCCGGTTGTTCCCTGTGTCACTCACTCCGTCATTCCCGGTTGTTTCCGGTTGTTGTTTCCAGTGCAGGCGGTTGTTTCCCATGTCCCTC